CGTCAGTGTGGGGCCGTAGTACCAGCCGCAGCCACGCCCGGGCCCGCTGGCCTCTGGTGCTGGAGCCCTTTGCTTTGTTTCTGGCCTGGCCAGCGAACGCCAGTGTGGTATTTACAGTGGGGACAGATGGGCGTTTCCTGTGCCAGTGCAAGCCCTCATCCAGCTGCAGTTGTGGCTGGTGAAGCCTTTCTCCAGGTGCCCTGGAGGCCCAGCCCTGCACCCGGATCGAGTAGCATAGGGGTGTTTGCAGGCTGCGTCTGTAGCTGCTGGGCTCCTGGGACCCCGCTCAGCCAATCTCTGAAGTTGAACACTGTGCCAGGGTGTGGCCAGAGAAACAAGCCCTTCATTTCCTGCTTCTCTACCGAGGATCCTCTGTCCTTAGGGGCTTTGGCAAATGTGGGAATGGGGGCTACCAGCTATTTTCAAATTTTCAGCATTTCCAGAACCTAATGGAGATTGCATTTTGCCCTTCGTAAAGCTGCAGAGGCTTATTAAAACATCAAGTGTCCTTGCTTTTGGCAGGAGTCACATATTATCATCTCAGGCCAATTAACAGCTCTGATCAGCACCCTCGTTTTTTTTCCTTATAAAAGTTAAGACGAGAATCAAATAGTACATAATGAATACTGTTCATTTGGCAAATTTTTTCAAAACATGGGGCTTTGGCTAAAATGAGGGAGCCAAATATAAATGGTGTTTTTGGTTTTTTGGTTTCTTACAATGTGGTGCCTCAAAGACCCAGAGGGAAAGTGGTTCCTTCACTTTTCACAAAAAGAGAAGCAGGCTGATACTTCAACTTGAAAGTTTACCCTAAAGTTGTGAAACAAGGGCTTCCTTGCCCTGCCTAATGTCCTGCGTGTCCAGGCTGTGTTGGCCTCCCTGTGGGGGGCATGTGCCTGTGAGGGTCTGGAGCCAGGTACCTCGTGGGGACGTCGCTGCTCTCCGGTGTTCACACCTGTGCTGGCCCTGACATTTCTGTCCGCTCCAGCTCTCCAGCAGAGCTTGGCTCCACCTCCTGTCATAACAAATGGGCAGAAGAGAGAGCTGAGTCAAATTCAAACCTACTTATTTTGCACATGGTAATGCAGGTCAGTGAGTAGCAGACATGAAACTACGTGGGCACTTTTGTTTTTCTTGGCTCTCCCCAGCTTACAGATAAACAATGAGGAGAGACCGACATTTTTAGTGGGTGAAACGTACTTTCAGCTTTGGACCCCCTTCGTGTCTTATTGCATTTAATGGATTCTCTTCCATTTTTTTAAAACGTGTCTTCATTTTCTTGTGTTTGACTGGCTGTGCTTGGTTACCTCCATGCATGTCCTTGGTGGTTTCTGTTTTGCATAAGAGTTAACTCTGTCTCGGTTCTGTTCCTGTTTGACTATATCTTTAATTTGCTTCTTTTCCCCATCAGTTGCATCTGGTTGCACAGGAATTCCTCAAATGCAGGAATTTTGGCTCAAATACTGCAGAATGTGTATTGCGCCCATGTCTTCACAAGGCACATGGGTGGCTTTGCCCATTTTCAGGCCCAACTTGTGTTGTGGCTTGACTTTGGCATTGTCAGGCAGAGTATTATCTTGGGCTCAAGGAACAAGTTCCACAAAATGATCAAGTCTATGGACCGACCTTCCGTGGTCCTTGGATTGGACCTCACCCAGCAGGAGTGCTGTATGACTGAAACATTTGCGTGTCGTTTGGTTGCAGCTCGGAGTGTATTTAAATGTTGAAACATCCTGGGCCAGTTCTTTAAATGTATGTATTGCACATAGGCTGGGTTAACACCCTAGAGACACCCACATGTTGTTTTTTAGCCTCTGAAGGGAGAGTCTGAGACACGGGAGATGTGCCGCTTGGTCGGTGATGAGGTCCCTTCGGTGTTTGCACTTCGCGGTGCTGTGCACACCCAGACCACCATTCATTCTGATTTCTGAAGCTCCGGGTGCCGCGCAGCCTGGGACACACTAAGTGTGGGAGGTGTGTGCAGTACACACTGGGTTTACTCTCGAGGTTTTTCCTCATTTTAGATCTAGGGCAAGACAGCATGATTGTTTTTAATAGTTCAGAGCAGTGTGTTCGAAATACCTGCCTAACAGGACTGGAAGGTGGGGCTCGGGCTGCCACCTGTGAGCCTTTCAACCTTTTTAATGGAAGGTGGGGATGTCAGAATAAAACAAGACTTTTTTTCTCGTTTATTTTTTCGTTGTTTATATGGAATAGCTAACATTTTGAAAACAAAAAAACAAAATGCAGCACCAACCCAGCATAATCTTAGCACATGGGTTTTGAGAGCTTACGCGTGGCTGGTGCGTCAGCTAAAGCGCTGTCTCCCAGTCCTTTTTGGTGTTCGATATATTTTTTTTCCCCTCACTCAACATACTTTCAAAAAGCGTGTCGTATACCATAGCTTTTTTTTTTTTTTTTACTTAAAAAGGAATGTAGATTACTTTTGTTTGGGTGATATTCTGGGAGCTTCTTGATTACCTGGGAAGCGTCCAGAGAGCATGGCTTGTGGGGACGAGGGCCAGCACGGGAATGTCTGGACACTCGCTTTGAGTCTCTCACCTGTGGATACTCGGAGATGCTTCCAAGACGCAGGTGTTTTCTGATCAGGAGGCAGCGGCCCCACCAGTCTGTCTTTGCACGCATTATTGCTTTCTTTTCCTTGAGCTCAAAATCATATCTTTTGATAAGCAAAAGGGGGAGCATGTCGTTGGTAGCTGCCACCTTCAGTTCTTGAGTTACAGTGATGGCTCTTGTTGAGCATGACTATCCTGAATGACACTATATTTTTGTCTACCTTTCAAAAAAAAATATTGAGCATCCGCTATGTGCACAAGACTGTATGGTGTCAGTAGTCATCTGTGTCTTGTACCAGTGGCTCTTGACATGGTTTTTGATATGACCAAGTAAACCAGAAGGAAGAGATCGCCAGCAACAAATACCTGCTGCTGGACCCGGAAAGATCCTCTAGTTACCAGCCCACATTCTCACCTGGCTTAGCAGCAAAGTCTAGGTTTTATACAAACCACCTGTGTAAAGTAAAATGGAGCACATTTCTTCCCCTTTATTGTTAGTGGATGATAGAAAATCATCAGTTATTTTATGCACACATTTAAATTGTTTGCACTGATATGTTTTGACATATTTACACTCACGAAATCAGAAAACTCAAGATAAGTCTTCCCTCCGACCTTTCCATCACAGTCCACAGCTGATCTACCTCCTGCCGCTGTAGATCGGTTTATGCTCCCCAGAGGTTTGTGTAAGTGGAACGATACGGTACGTGCTCTTCGCCTCGCTCCCTGCACTCCGCATGATGATCCCAGCGCTCGTCCGCACTCTGCCTTACTGTCGGGTTATTCCATTGAATAGATGTACCACAGTTTGTTCATTCAATCTGTTGACAGATATTTGGGTGATTTCTGGTTTTTGGCTTCTGTAATTAAGTTCAGAACATTTCTTATGTCAGTGATAATTTAAACTTAGCTTTCCCCTCAGTCTCCCTTTCTGACATTGAGTTTCACAGGATTAATTTTGACTTCTCTTTCTCCTTTTACATTAAGTAAATTAAAAGGAAGAGGAACAGACTATTTCCGGGCAGACCAATGTTTCTGTTGGGTGGTACTATCAGTTACTAAATTTGGATCATTTTTGGATCTGTTTTTAAAAGCAAATGTGGTGCAGACACCCATTTTTTAAGGGTATAAAAGCAGCCCTCGGACGAGTTTCTAAATGATTGTCACTACTGGGGTTGTGTTCTCTGCCAGCAAAGCTGCAAGCTTTCTGGAAACTACCCCAGAGGGATGCTAACAGATCCCCAAGAAAAGGCAAGAAGTTCCCTAAAACCAAGAATAAACAAATGTGTGGCTTTTGCTTTAGCTCTGAAAGTTATCTGAGTGTAAG